TATTCCAGTAGTCCTAAATTAATAGATAAATTAACAAAGGTTTGTAAAAATATTCAAATTTTGAAAATACATCATAAGGCTTTCTCATACGAATATCAACCAAGCATATCCAATAGTTCCAGCTTGTCATCAACTATTACATTTTTTAGCATTGGCTTTTCATCAAACAAGAATGCTGATTACAATCTAACTCAACTGATCAAGGCACAAAATCAAATTAAACAATTGGATGTTGATTCACTTGATAATAGAAGTATATCAGAAGACCTGAAAAAGCAATTTCAGATCATTCGTGATAATTCTACCAACACTTCATAACCATCATTATATAGTCTTGATTTTACTATTAGTAAAGAAGATGGAAAATTTTTATAATCTTATGTTATCACCAAATATTAAAACTTTTTTTCTAGAAAAGAATTGCTACCGGATAACCTTTTCTATTGGACTTGTCAGCTTTCATTATTTAAATTTGGCCAGATGTTGATGGTTAACCAAAAAAGACATTGGGAATTTTTAAGAGGATTTTTATTCATTATCACTAAATCATAGTAAAATAGAATCATTATCAATTTTTTTTACATTAATTCCTGGAATATGTTTTTAATGCATATTTACATGTATTTGATGGTGATAGTAGAAGTTTTAAATAAAGCCATGATTTTTTAATTAAAAGTTATCAAAAATTTATTAAAGGTCCTATAAAATTTCTTTGGAAAATTTTTTTGTATTAATAAATGAATTGATAAATAAATAAATAAATAAATAATCTATACATTCAAAATTATTTTTTTTAAACAGAAGAATTTCTATTATTGGTTAATGTAATAAATATTATATTATATATATACAATGTTAAATAATAAATAGTATAATAACAATAAAAGAATTAAAAATACAAAGTTATTTAAAAGAAACGTCCTAGTTATTTTTTTTTGTTCTTTGAAATCAGACAATCCTTTAAAATTTTTAATCTCTTTAGATTTAGTTTCTTCTCTCATCTGTTTCAAAAAAGGCATTAAATCGGTTCCACCAGTGCCTCTAACTACATTTAAATCATTATAAATCTTGTTTGATGTAGTAGCAGTGATGTTATCATTAATAGTAGTGGCACCATTAGTCATCGTAGTGGCACCATTATTATTATTATTATTATTATTATTATTATTATTATTATTATTATTATTATTATTATTATCAGAAGCAACAAAATTAGTTGCAGAACCATTAGAAATAGTACCATTTGTAACTGAACCATTTATAATTGAACCACTAGTGACAGCACCATTGGTAACATCTATTGAAAACATTGAAAATAAAATAAGAAAATTTATTATCAAGTGTTAGAAAACATCAAATCTGACAAACCAATTATATGCATATACATATACATACCTTTATTATTAGAATCTAGTTCCACTTTTGAACTTTTATTACGTGCTTGAATAATGTAAACGCAAACAATTTGTAAATGCTTGGATCTGAAAATTGACATTTTATTTAAACAGTCATTGTAGGCTTCAACCAATTCATTGTTTTCAGCGATTTTACTACTGTCTAATTTACCATTTATTTCCATATTACCATCACATTCAATACATGATATAATATAATCACGTATGATTGCAGCTTTTGTCAAATCTTCAAGAAATCTTCGATGATTTCCAGGAATGTTTTGACGAATCTTGTAAATATAAGGTTGTTGTTGTTGCTGTATATTATGCCCTTTTTTGCTTGTATTATTATAGTTGTTACTGAGGTTTTCATTAGATGACTCATGAGAATACTTATAATTGCTAATATTGTTTGTAATTGGCTTAGTGACAGTTGGATGATGTTCAATATTAAGTGCAATGTCTAATGATTGGATCAATGAGCTTTGACCAGCACTTCCACCACCATACTGGCGATAAGTAGGATTTCCATTTTCATCACATCCATCCACACCTTCGTATTTCAATCCATTTGGTAAATCTTCATCATTATACCAACCAGACAAATAAGGTCGTATCTTCTGATAGAAGACATAAGAATCACATTTTTCATAAATCCGAAGAAGAACTTTGGTGATTTCATCAATGGTTGAACCAATAATTTTTAAAGATTCAATCAGTTGTCTATTGTTTTTATCATGAGCAGATTGAATCGCAGAAATAATCGCAGTGAGAGCTTTCCCACCAATAAATTCAATAACAATTGTAACAAGGTAAAACCAAGATTCATCAATAGTATTTGTGAAAGTCATTAACGTAGCAAGATTACTATTATATTATTTTAATTAATATTTGAAAAAAAAAATTTTTTTAAATTAGAAAAATATTAAAATGTACTTTTAAAAAAAATATTTCTTATAGGATATTAACTTTAAACTTGGTTCTTCATCAGGAGAGATTAAACGCCAATTCCATAACGTTAAAGCCGCATGATTCATTACTGGTGCCACATTAAGATAATCAGATATTTTGACCCATGGTATAGCAATACAAGCTGGTATACTCTAAATATATACAAATAAATAAGATCCATGTATAAAGAAAAAGTAAAGAGAAAAAGAAATCTATCAATCCTTACATCGATCACAGATTCATCATATTTCCCTCGAACATAACCATGTGCTAATATTGATAAAACCAAAAAAGCACGTTTATATTCTGCAGAGTTTTTAAGTTTATCCGTTCTTAATATTGGTAACTAAAACATATAGAATTTTATTATAAATTATAAACACACATGCATTAATAAATATTCCAAAAAAATAATTCTCAACAAACCATTCCAACAGACTCTCTTAGACGGCCAGTCAACAATAAGTTGTGAAAATTGTCAATCAAGTTTTCCCATGGCTCATAATAAGTATCAGGTAGACGACGTAGGGGGGGAGTAGATTGAAGAAATCCAGTTTTTGGACTGATGTCATAGTCTTCAAGGTGGGAAATGATAAATGATTTTTTTTCATTTCCATTTTCTAGGTTATTAGGAAACATTATAGAGAAGAAATATATAATATGTAATATATGTTTGTAAATTAGTTGGTTAAAATATAATTATTCCAACACACTAATTATATTTATGATGAAAGAAAATTGGTTGGTTATAAATTATTCATCATGTTTTTAAAAAATTTTCAACCCATATTTGGGCAATCTTTTGATTATATAAAAAAGAACACCACGCGATAAACAAGGATTAATGAATTAATTCTCCTTGCATTGCAGCCATTCCATACTATCTATATTTGAACATACATTATGTCAGAAAATCGCAAGTTCAAAAATTTCACGCCGGTATGATCTTTTGAGGCGTGTAACATCAAAATCCATGTAACTAAAAATTTGTGCGGAAAAAAAAATCGTGCAACCAAATTATATGATATGAGAAAGGGAAGAAATTTTCCCAACCTGTTTTTTTTTGTAAAGATGGAAATATTAATTAATATAAATATCAACAAAATATGCGCATTTTAGTTACACTGGTTTTTGTTTGATGTTACAACACTGTACTCAAGCATTTGAAAATTAGAGAAATCGCCTGTGAAGCTTGCCAGAGTATTATAACAAAGGAAGGAAAATCTGAAGAGAAATAATTTACTACTTAACTGTCATATATTATTAAATAATATGATGAAATAGACGTGTGTACTTTCTTTCAATAAAAAAGAATTGGGGTGAATTAGTTTGGCTTTCTTGGCTTTTAGTTCAATTATTTTGCCTTGTTGCTTTCTTGTAATTTAATCTAATCTTTTCCTCCTGACTAACTCATCTTTTTTTAAATTTCTTCTATATATGACGCCATTCAAAATTTAAGTGCAAGTAAGAATGGTTATTTATCTAGAAAACGTTGGCAAATATGGCATAATTATTATCCTTCATTTATTATTATTCCCTCATCATTTGTCCACCAATCCATAATTGTTCTAATAACATCGGCAATATCCTGAGTCTAAGGATCCTTAGTTCTTTTGAAATTTTTAAGGACTCCTTAAATTTGTTACAAAGATCTCCATATTGATATAATTAAACCGATGACAACTGTTTACTTAAAATACACTATATACTTTCTACTAGATTATTTTAAAGTCTTTGGAGTATTGTTGTTATTTAATGTGTCATTATTATTGTTACTGTTATTATTATTATTATTATTACTATTATTATTATTATTATTATTATTATTATTATTATTATTATTATTACTACTACTACTACTACTAACTTATAATATATTTAAAGAAATCGAAGGGTTAATGAGCAGACATAAGGATCCTTGAGTGATATACAACTAGAACTGTTGGTTTATTCATTCATTCATTAAAATGAATTTTATTAATACAGATTATTAACATTATACTAATTATTGTTACAATGAATATTGTTACACAACAATCAAAAATTTTCTAATTAGGGGAGTTGTATGTAATATTATAATAATAGTCATCACGAAGTTGATCCATATCATAAAGACGTCATTTGATAAATACTTAAATTTTATATTAATAAGTATTTAATATTTACAAGTACTTATTTGTATTCAACTTTAATAATTAATATATTTTAAACATTAAATTTAAATATTTTTTAAAAAAATACTTTCAAAATATTTTTAATTTAATATTTATTAATTATCGTTAAAGATATGTATTAATTAAGCATTTAAATTTACTATTAAAAAGCATTTAATTATTAAGAAATTATTTAGTAGTGTTATTTACAAAGTAAAATTCCCGGTTTACTAAATTTTGGTATAATACGCACTGTATTTGTCACTGAAGCAATAGGAATTAAAGTATAATGCTCTACATGCTAAGAATAGCACATTTATAAAAATATTGATATCGAACATCATCTGGAGATGAACGCGAGATCAATATTTTAACCCATGCAATTGTGATTGACCAATCAAAATCGTGAATTTGATAACGTTGGTTTGATTCATTTTGTCGACAATCACTTCATCAACAATTGTTTCGTTAATAAATGGTTCGAATTTAAAAAGTTGGAAGCAACCATGTGACAAACCTTTGAAATAGTCTAATAAATTAAATTGTACTACTCGAAAATGTATTTAGAGGTTTGGTTTTCGACTTGGTTGAAGAATAACTCTCTTCTTAACACAACCATTATTTAAGATATACGATTAAGACAAAACATGAATGATGTATGAAAAAATCAAACAAATTTATTTAATAAAAATAAAATTTACCAAAAAATTGTTTTTTTTGCATGCTCGCACCATCTATTGTTGATGCAACGTTACCCAGATCATCATCAACTGTATCTTCATTATTTTCAATGTTTTCGATGTTTTCGATAAATTCATTTTCATTTAATATTTTCATCATGTTTTCTTTTAGTGTGTTGACATTTTTTTTGATTTCGACTTGAAGATAGTTCAAGATATCAAATATTTAGATTGACACCTTTGTAGACAATGATTGTGATAAATGGGTACACTACAATTATTCAAATTAGTATAGTTAGTG